CCCCCCCCTAATTTTTGGAATATCTGCTCCCTGAAGTTGTTCCCACCTTAGGATCTTGCCTGTGTCTGCCTTTCAACGGCCTAAGATTGGGGCAGGTCTGTTGAATCCAACAGGTCTGGATTCAGAACCCATCTAGGAAGTGACAACTGTCTTTGGCATAATTTATGATTCCATGGATGATGCAAAGAAAAATGATCCTAAACATTGCCTTGCAAGAAGCCTGTGTGAGAACAGACAGACTTCAGGGAAACGGCACCAAGAGCACAAGAACAGAATGAAAAGTTGGGGGATACCAGGGGCCAATACTGGTGCTGGCAAAAAGGAGTTAAGATTCTGCTGAGAATTTATCTGTGGTGATTGTGCAGAATTTTCATGAATGGATTCATAAAAATCTATTCATGATGTGCCTGGCCCTTAGAAATAAATACAATAATGTAACATCAAAATGAAACACTAGTGTATCAATACATACTATTTTAATTCTTAATCACCAGCTTATCTGGAGGAAAAACATGATAAATAGGGTGTCCAGTCTAGTACAAGGACAGACTCTGCACACAGTAACCACTATTTCTATCCCCTCCCCAAATGCCTGCACATAGCCTCTTCATACTTCAGGTTCCAGATACCCAAGTCAGGGATACCTGGGTCCTTACAAGGGCTTTGGCCTCTGTCCATCTTCTCCCTACTCCTCTCATTACTCAGTGTCTCAGGTTATCACCCCCTCAGGGAAGCCTTCTCTGATTGCATCCTCTCCCTCCTCACACCCTGACCCTTAGATCTTCCCTCTGTGGACTGCAAGATCTGCTCATTCCTCCAAAGCCAAGCAGAGTCCCTTGAACCTGTAGCCTCCCTCTCCTGGAGTGCTGGTCTAGACAAGGGGATCTCCTCACCAGGAGGGGGTTTTACAGATTCTTGGCATGTTTTGCTTTCCACCACAAAGACGTTTTCCCCGAAAAGTTGTTTGTGTTCCCCCACCCCCACAGAGAAAGTCAGGAGTTTCATTTCCCCTTAGCAAGATGTTGGGTTTCTCTGTGAACCCCTGATGAGTGACTTGGTGGGAACAGAGGGGGACTGCTCCCCTTGAAGCTCATAATCCACCGAGGTGGACAGCCTCTTACCAAAGATGGGCAATGCAACCAGGAAAAATGGGCAGTGACGGCCCCCCAGCTCCGAAAGCCCAGGTGAGGGGCAAAGAACCACTAGACTCAAGATGGCTGCAGGGCCTGCAGGGAAGGCTTCTGAGCAGACAACCCACAATAGGCACCTCCAGAAACGTGAAGAGGGGTGCAGAGGCAGCGGCAGCAGGCTGCGAGCTGCCCGAAAGGCCCTGGGGTTGAAACCCTAATCTGTCTTTTGTGCAGGGAGGTCTACAAGGGATCAGGCACATAGAGCAAGAATAAAAGGGCAGATGAAAAGGAGCCTGGTGTCCAGGAAAACAGAGTGTGCCTGAAGGGGAAGGCCTGTGGCCACGGGGCAAGCCCAGGGGTCTCTGTGGCTTTTTTTCCTCCCAAGTCTCCCTAGGTCATGAGCTTCATTTTTAGGATGAGACAGTCAAAGGCCCCTCTACTGGGGTCTGGTCTTGAGCACTGGAGCAAAGTGAGTCAGGCTCCTGGGGCTGCGGCAGGCCTCCACGCCTGTTTCTTTCCCTTCTTGTGGAGACCCAGCGGCCCAGGGTGTAAAAGGAGTAAAAGCTAACAGCAGCCCCAAATTCATACTCAAATGAGTGTACGAGTCTCTACCTTGCCTCATTAATGTTTGGGGACCAGCTGTGACACACCCATACCCATTCTTCTGTGGCAAACCTCTACCCTAACTCTATAAAGAGGAGCTGAGTTCTGCTCCTATCTCGGAAGCTTTGAGACGCGCAGCAGGAAGGGGACGTGGGGTGACTCAAGAGGATCACCCCCTGAGGGCCTGCATCAGCCTCCAGGATCTTCCTCCTGCCCCCCACCTTCGTTTCTCTCCAATACGTTGTAACCATGACGTTTATTAGAAGCTTTCAAACCTCTGATCAGAAGCACAACAACAACAGGGCTCTCCTTCATGCTGCCCTGAGTCCCGGCCCTTCAGACATGCAAGACAGGGCTGGGAGCTGGTAGAGGAGTCAAAACATCTTCAGAAGCCAGGCCAGGGGCGGGCCCCCTCCTCCCATCCCAGCCCTACTAGCGTGGGCCTGCGCTGCTACCAGGAAGGCAGGCTGGGCCCAGATCCCTCCCACTGCAGTCCTCTTCGTGGTGGCTGCCTCCCCTCGCCCACCCCCAGCCTCTCCGATCACCGGCTCCAGAGCTCGGAGCCTGACCCTCAGGCTCTGCTCTCGTGCACTGACTGGTGCTGTCAGGCTGTGTGTGGGCCCTGCCTCTCCAGTCCAGTGCTAGCAGAGCGGGGCAGGCGTGGCGGTCCTGTCACTGCACTGTATACCCAGCTCCGGGCTAGGCCCTCCATGGAGGAATGAGCTGGGCAGACTAGTCCAGACCACGAGTGTTGGTGAGAAGGGCAGGGCAACGTGACACAGCCTTTCCCGGCTCAGGCGACTCCCAGTCTCTATTCACTGGCTCCTGGCTGGGCCTGAATCTTCTCAGGCCTCAATAATCTGAGGTACAGCACCTCCTCCTCCAAGATGCCCCTGTGGCTTCCTGCCCGGCCCAAGGCTGGGCTTTGGACTATCAGCTAAGGCTTCTACTTCAGGGCCCTGAGGACTGCCTCCAGCTTCATGGCCACGGCCAAGTCGCCCTTCACCTTCAGCCGCCCGCTCACGTAGGCCCCCAGGGGCCGCAGCTGCCTGCACAGGAGTGCCTGCAGGTCTACCTCGGTCAGCTCCACCACCACGTCAGGGATGTTGTCAGGTACCCCGTGGCCCACCCTTCCTTGACCTGTGAAGGGAAAGAAAAGAACATTAGTGGGGGACAGCTATGGAGCAGAGGAAAGGGAGGGTTCATTAGTGTGTGTCTTGGAAGTGAGTTAGATACTAATACTCTGGATTCAAATTCCGTTGACTATGTGATCATGCAGGCTCAGTTTCCAAGCTGGAGAAATAGGGGCCACTAATAATCCCTCAAGCATAGGCTTGTGGTGAGAACTAGGCAAGAAAAGGCACAAAGTGTTGAGCAGACTGCAACGTCTGGGCTCTTGCTGTGGCCAAAGGCTATGCCAGGCCTCCATGCCTGTTTCTTTCACTTCTTGTGGAGCTATCGGAGCTGTCCTGCTGGTAGTAGAGAGACTACGGCCTGCATAGTTCTGTCTGCAAATGGTGTCCAGGCCCCTGACCACTAGAGGTTACCTCTAACTGTTGGTAGGTACAGTGGAAGGTCGAAAAAAGAACCCTGACAGGGTTCAAGGAAAATGGGTGGGAAGGAGAGAGCAGGGAGGGCATTTGTATACCTGTAGTGAGGTCCAGGAAGTAGATGCTCTGGGCGCCACTGGACAGGATGACATTGAACTGGTAGCAAGCGCCGACCTGGCTGACCAGGGCCTCAGACAGGAAGGGCTGCAGGGCACTCAGCAGCCCCTCAGCCAAAGGCTGCTTCAGGCTGGGCACAGTACCCTCGTGAGGGGCGGGCAGCTCGTCTTCGTTCACCATCTCCACTGTGTCTGCTGGGAGGTGGCCATCAGGGTGAGGGGAGGAAGGCAGAGGTCAATGTGCGTCAGGATCACTGTGGCCTTCTGTGGCAGTTCCCACTGAGATTTGCTCAGGACTGTTCAACTTCCCTTACACGCCTTAAGCACCCCCCAGACACCCTTCTTCTAAGTTACTCCAGTCTTGAGTGTAAAACTCTTGCCTGGGTACTACTGCTTCCTTCCATCGCAGCTGCCAAAGGCCCCCGACACTCACAGGTACCTGCGCCTTTTTTACTGGCTTCGTTCTGGCCAATTCGAGAGTCGGGTGGCCTGATCAGCTGCACAGAGTGTGCATTGCACAAAGGAGCTGGGTTAAGGATGCAAATAGCAAAGCTTGGCCAGTGCTGGACACCAAGCTGAGCACCCCACTGAACTCCCCCACCCTCTCTTCCCTGAGGCTCCTCACCTGACCCTGGAGGGGGGGCACCTCCTGTGACTGAGGACATGCCTCCTCCCAGGAAGTGAAGGGCCAGCTGCTGGAGGGTGCTGTCCAGGCCAGCTGCAGCTGGGCTCTCCTGAGGCGCCTGCAGCACAGCCTCCACCGCCAGCTCCACACGGTCCACCTCCAGTCCCCAGGCCCGAGTCACATCATTGATCTCCAACTGGAAGAAAAGGAGTTCATTCAATAATTTTTTCTAGAACATTACCTTTGGGCAGGCTAGCATGGCCATGTGGACACAGTGGTGCAGGACACACCAGATACCCCTTGAGTAGCTACCAGCCCAAGACACTGGCAGAGGGTATCACAACCCAGCTATGGGCAGGTACAAGCAGGAGATGGCTTGCCTCACCTGCAGGTCCAGCAGGGCCTGAGACTCAGAGGGGAAGTGATGCCAGGAGGACTTACCCAGGGCCCTGCCAGGTAGTGGGAAGTGTGTGCTAAAGCTCAGACACGAAAATCTGGATTATGTGGGGAGCTGTGATAATGGCACTTCTAGTTAGCAGGATCCTCAAGTGTGGGCTGGGGCACTAGAGAGAGCCAAGGACACAGAGGCAGGCTGCTCCTGCTCCCTGGAATTTTTTCAGAAGAATGGGGAGCCCTGGGGGAGGTAGCAGACACGTGACAGAGCTAGTTAGAGATGCCCTTTTGGGGGGGGCCTCCCTGGAGGTGCAATGGGTTAGACACAGCATTGCAAGCCAGCCACAGCTGCTTTAATGTGAGTTTGATCCCTAGCCCCGGAGGTGACCACATGGCACAGCAGACCTCTCCTGTCTCACCCGCTGCTCCCCTCAGCAGTGTATTTCAGTCAATCTGCCTGTTCTGCTCCCCACTGTCTCTGGCGAATCCTCTCATTGCCCCTACATTCTGGCCTGCACCCCAGTTCTGTATGCATAAATAAATAAATCATAAAAAAATAGAACATGCATTCATGAACACAAACTGTTAACAGCACGTTACTGGGTTATATGAGAATAAGTGCTGGATTGTGGGTTGGCGACAGGACTAGCTTTGGCCTAGCTGTGTCTCTGACCACGGCACTTAAGGAGAGTCAAATCATTTGAGTCTGGCTTTCCTTCCTCCAAAATAAAAAGACAGTATACTAATTGTAGCAGGTGTAAAGCTGAGCTCTGATGGTGGAGGCAGAATGAATGAAAACTATCAAATGCGACACACAAACTTAACTGTCATCAATAGTATTTTCTTAGCAATTTGACCTACTTGGTTAATCACTTCCTGTAGGGACTGGGGCCACCAGGACTAGCATTTCCCCATTGTCCCTCTGTCCCTTGGCCCTAGCTCCCCTGACTGGGGCAAGGGGTTGAGGAAAGCTTCTGCCACATTCCCCTATGAGGATATGGGAGGGAGTATAGGTTAGCGTGGCCTGTCTCCATTTCCCACCTGTCACAGAGGGATCTGAGCTAAGATCCAGCATAGATATATGTTCACATATGGAGAAGTAGGAAAAGGTTCAAATGTCCTCCTGTCCCTCTGTGCTGTTCAGAATATGCAATCCCAAACTACTAAATGCATATGGCGGTCCTGTGAGGTATGAAATCTCCCAGGTAACTGGGTCCGAGGGGCCCCAACCCTTCTACCTACTTGCTGCTCTGAGAGTGAAAGAGCCTGAGGCCTAGTGTTGCCCAGCAGACCAAGTCAGGGACCCTAAATTTCTGCCAGGCCACCCCCCTGCTCGAGCCAGCCCCTTTACTTCTCCAAGTCAGGCTTGCCCGAGATCCCTGGGGCCCACGTGCTTCTTCTGCTTCTCAAGTCAAGCCCCAGCCAGACCACTGGTGTGTCTTGGGACACAGAGTAAAGTGAGGCCCAGACTGATGTGGTGTTTTGCTCAAAATGCCCTGCCTGGCAGGCAAAGTCAGGCTCAGGTGCCATCACTGAACTCTACTTGTGAGGAGTGACCTACCAGGAGCTGGTCACTGATCTTGAGCTTCTCCATCTGGATCTCCCGCAGAGGCCTCTTGAGCAGGGCCTTGGTCATGGCATTCTGGGCTGTCATGCGAGTGGCTGTGTTCAGGTCCTTCACAGTCATTACCGACAGGACTGGGTCCCAAATGCGGAACTGGACATCGGCCCCCACGGACAGCACAGCCCCATCCTTGGAGGCCAACTGTTGGGGGAGAAGATGAAAGAGGAGATGCTCAAGGGGTTACAGGGAGCTCAGGCCTACTGAGGCCACCCAGCATGACCCCCAACCTGGAAGCTAACTCCTCATAGTTTGGCAAAATGGAGTTCCAAATCGAACGGGATCAAGAATACAAGGCGGAGATGTCCTCCTAGCCTCCATCCTTGATTTTCTAGTTTCTTCTTCATTGTCTCTCTATAACTCACTCCCCATAGATGGCTACTCACAGGCCATAGCACCCACAATATACTCTGCACAAGCCTCCACTCCCTCTGTTCAGGGGAGCTGAGAAGCACCTCACCTTGCAAGGCGGGACGTTGAAGGCTCGTGTCCTCAGATCCACCCTCTGGAAGGAATCAATGAAGGGTAGGAGCAGAACCATGCCAGGCCCTTGTGGGGTACGGATCCGGCCCAGACGAAACACAATCATCCGTTCATAAGTTGGCACAATCTGTCCACAATGGCAAGGGAAAAGGTTGAAAGTGGTAAATCTGGCCTGATAATGACATCTGCTCAGATCCCTGTCACTCTCTCTCCTTCTCCCCTTGGACACTGCTTTTAGCTGAGTAAACCCAGGCTCAAGACAGGCTAAGTGGCTTGATCAAAAACCACACAGGGGCCCTTCCTGATGACGCAATGGGTTAAAGTGCATTATGAAGCTAGCTGCGGCAGCTCAGCACCAGTTCAATCCCCCACCAGGGAGGTGACCCACATGGCGCAGATCTCTCCTGACCTGCCCACTGCTCCCCTCAGCGGTGTCCTTTGCCAATCTGCCTGTTCTGCTTCCCACTCTGTCTCTGGGGAATCCTCTCACTGCCTCTGTACCTCTGACTTGTACCCCAGTTCTGTATGCATAAATAAATCTTTAAAAAAAAATTACACAGGACCAAAGTGAAACAGGTGAGACTGAATGCAGTTCCAATCACCTCCAAAGGCCATGTCTCAACTACCACACTGTACGAACTTGATCCTCTAAGAAACTTTTTGTTTGTGTGATCTCAAGCTAGAGATGACTCAAATCAGGAAGCTGTCTGCTCCTGGATTAGTTAGGGCAAGAAGCAGGAAGTGCCTCTTAACGGCAACTCTGAGGAAAGGGCTTTGCCAACTTCAGATCTCTGGAGTCTTCAAAGACATAAATAAAATAAAACTGCGAAGGGAATGCCCAGAGAGGCAAAGGGCTTGCTAAGGTCACAAAGAATCTGTCTCTGGCAGTTTAAGAGTAGGATTTAGGGTGTTCCATGGACTCCTTTCCTGACCAAACAAGCTCAAAGGCTTCGGACCACCATGACTGTCCCTCCGGCTGCACGAACAACAAGGCCTGCCTGGTTTTCCATATTAACCGCGTTTTCTTGTGGGCTACTTAACCACAGCACACCTGTTCCTTAGCCACACCATCCTTTGTTTATGAGGCCCCAAATTCCTACTATTTATTACTTGTGGTTTAAGCCAAAGCCAGATGTTTTCATTTCTAATTTAGCTTAACGCAAGGGGAAGATGATGTGACAAAGATATCTGTGTGTACCTTATGACCTGGGTCCAGACCCCAGGACTTGGGAATTTGGGAAGGCTTGTTTCTACCAATCACTGGACAAGTCTGAGCTTCAGTTTCCTCATCTGAAAGATGGAATTGAATAAACCTTGCCTGGTCCTTTTCACTGAGATGTGAAAATATGATATTTAGGCACAGGGAGCAGAGTATAGAGAATGCATACAGCCATACTAAAGCTCCTAGTGTGACCCAAACATCCTGGGTACCGACCCAGGCAGCCTTACCTTCAGAGCAAACCAGCCGGAAATGGGGAAGGTGATCATTAGCAGCAAGAATCCCAGAAAACTGATAAGGCCATGGCAGAGACAGGAAGGCCAGCTCTGAGGAGCATCTGGGGACAAGGACAGAGAGTCCATCATGGAATACCAATCGGACCTGGCAGGACAGCTATATGCAGGTGAACTCGGTCAAGCACAACTTTTGTCCACTTCCCCCTTCAATGGTTCCCTCCTTCTTGGGGGTTTTCAATTTACCTCCCTGCCTGATATTCCCCTATCTTTGGAAAGGTGCTGTCAAAGCACTCTTCCCTCCTCCCAAACATCAAAACTAATCTGTGTGAAGTCCCACCCTCACAAGGTCTAGCTCTTTCAAGCGACAGCCACTGGGTCTGAGAAGCCAATCCATGTGATGCTCTCCTCACAGAAGCATGCAGCAGTCAACCCCCTTGTCTGGTTTATACTGCCTACCCATACCTGGCACAGAGCCTGGAGCACCTGGGCATCTGTAAATACCAGCTAGATTGAAGTGAATGGCATTGGCATAACACATGCCTCCTTTACCACTAGCTGTGTGCTTTCAAGCAGTCTTTTAGACTCTTTTAGAGATGCTTTAGCTCAGAGACAAACCATTAGTGGCTTGTCAACAGGAGCTATAGATGAGGATTAAGATGTCTTTTCCCAGCTCACAATCTTATTGCCTCATTTTAATGCCCTAAGGACCATAAAAAGCAAGCCTCACTTAAGGCAACTTCAGGTTGGGAGGGGGAGAACTAGCAAGGAAAGGCTTATTTGAGCCTGATTCTCTGGGGAACCAGGAGCCAAGGATGGAAATGGAGCTCCAGAATCTGATGGGGATACGCTCTGCTCTCCTCTTCCTCCCCACCCTGCAGAGAAAGCAGACAGGTCCCTTTGCTCTTTACTCTCAGAAACCCCACACCCTGTGGGCTCTCCAAACTGCAGAATTAACTTGTCTCCTTTCATGCAGTCACAGACCCATGTCTCTGCAGGATAAGGGCAGCTTTCATTAGGGGAGGGCTCAGGAGGAAGCAAATTTTCCAGGGTGTGTCTGTCAGGCAGAAGCAGGTGGGATCTTGCACATGGGCCCAGAGAAACTACACAGGGCTTTGAAGCAAGACAAGGCCAGGGCAGAAGCAATAGGCAGCATGGCCTTCTTGGCCTGTGCATCTTCAGGAAACAGGGAGATGGTGAGGTTTGGGTATCCAGAGGTGCCCCCTGGGGCAAAGGTTCTGTCATTTCTCTGTAGTCAAGTGTCCTAACCGTATAGGTGATATATTAATCCAAGATCATGGTTTATTTTTATGCCAAATGCGGGCATGAAGCCAACGCCCAGGCCTAAAGGGCTGCTAAGAATCGAGAAGGAATGGGGTGGGACAAGGCTTCTTGGAAGAAAAGAAAACTCCGGGGCAATCCGTAGCCCTAGGAAAGGCAGATCAGCGCGAGCATCCCAGCGCCCGGTCCAGGCCACTCTTCATATCGCCTTCCCTCTCGGTCCTCAGGGAACAAGGCACCGTTAAGAGTCAGCTCACTGGCTCCTCAGAGGCAGAAGGCTCGGGCCTGGAGGGGGTGTCAGCTTTCCCCCCAAAGTCTGCCATGCAGGGGGCCACTCACCGGCCCCGGTCCCCACGCCGCCCCGCTCCGGGGACAGGCAGCCCTTGTGCGAGCCCAGGAAGCCGAAGCTCGACTGCTGGAAGCGATCAAAGTCTCCTAAGGGCAGTGCCCGGTATCCGGACCTGCCCAGCATGATTCTGGACAGGGAGGACGTCTCAAGCCCCTAGCGGAGCGATGCTTGGCAAGCGACCGCCAAACTGCCCCGCCCCCGCCGACCGACGCTTCCGGTTTCACTTGCGCTGCGGGCGGCTGCAGTCCTTGCATAAGGAGACCTGGTGGCACCGCTCCTGTCGTTGTATAGCGCCCCCTGCGCTGGGAGGACCGAGCTGGGGCGGGGAGGGAGAGTAATAGGAGGCGCTTGGGAGGGTCTGGAGTCCTTGCCTTTTGCCCCTTGCTCACCAATGGGCCTTAGAAAAGCAGAAGGGAGTTAGACTTTGTAAAGGGTTCAGGAGCCAGACTTTCACCAACATCAAGAAACTGCTACCAATCCTTTAAGTACTCCCTCTCCAAACTTACAATATTGGGGTAACCTGTAGGGAGGTCCTTATCTAGAAATAAGGTTTCTCCAGGGCATGGTCAGTAAATTATTACTCTCTATGTCCCCACTGGTATTGATATGTGAATTTGTTATAGGGAAGGGAGAGGGAGACCCCTGAACCCCCAAACCTACCTACTCTAAATAGGTTCTGCCATCCTCCACATCAAGACAAGACATATAAGACCTTTAATGGAAAGGAACTTTGATACAACGAGTGTGCAATACAGAAAAGGCAAAGAATATAGGTTCTAAATCAAACACCCAAAGTTACCTCTCCCCTCGTGGGTAAAAGTCCACCCAAAAGGGATTGGCCCAAAGCAAAGCCTGAAAGCCCGCCACAAGTCTAAAACACCTTTTGGCCGGAACCCATAGAAAAGGGTCAGACATGGCCAGAGAAGTCTAGGAGGAAAAGAGCAAAATCAAAATCAACATAAACACTGCCATAGTGAACCTCCCCACGGGTCTCTCACCCACATCTGTTTCAACCAGTCCAGGGACAAGAAACAAGAGCCCCTTCTTTGCGTGTCTCTGCTCCATGTGCTTCCCTCAGGTCTCCTTCTGGCTCTCCATCCTGCTTCCTTACTGTTCAGTCCCCTTTCCAGATTCTTCTCTCCTACTGGCTCAGCTCCACCCACCTTCTGGGTGGGGCAGGGAACCTGGAACCCCTCCTCCTTCCTTTTCCTGGGGACCACCCTGTTACAGAGCAAAAGGATTTGAACATTGGTGTAAAAAGAGAAATGTATGTGCTGGCCCTGGGGAGTGGAGCAGAGTAAGGATGGCCCTGTCCAAGGGCAGGCCCTCCAGAGCACCACAGAGATGCTTTGTCCTGCAGATCCAGATACAGTACATCCCTTGATCCAGGTGCCAGAGGCAACCTGCCTTTCCATGGCTTGTGAATACAAAAGGTGAAGTTACTCTGAGAAGTATTAACTTCCAACAGAGAGCAGCCTGTCTTCCAAAGGAGCAACGGAGCTAGACCTATGCCTTTTCAGGTCCCTCAATCCTCAGCCATAGCCCACAAGCCAGGTCTTTTCTGCAGGTGCCTGCTCATTGATGGTGGTCTTTGGCTATTACAGGTTTAACGGACTTATTCTAAAGCCCTGGGCACTGATTAGGCTGGAGGGCAGGGCAGGCTCCCACAGCCTCACATCCACCAGTCTTCCCAGCTGTCATACAAGGCATGAGCCTGTTCCCCTCATCTTTAGCATAACCAATGAGGGTCTTGATTCTGCAGCCACAGTCCTAAATGGGGTCACCTATCCCTATGTTGTCAGAATGACTGTCCCAGTAAGCACAAGAATCACACTGTTTCTTTTCTTTTCTTTTCTTTTTTTTAAATAATATAATAGTTTATTACACACTGTTTCTTTTCTTTTTTTTTTAAGATATTTTTTTTTAAGATTTATTTATTTATTCGTACAGAACTGGGGTACAGGCCAGAGACGTGGAGGGTGAGAGGATTCACCAGAGACAGAGTGGGGTACAGAACAGGCTGATCGACGAAGTACACTGCTGAGGGGAGCAGCGGGCTGGTCAGGAGAGGTCTGCCACGCCATGTGGTCACCTCCGGGGCAGGCGGGAATCGAACTCATGCGGAAGCGGCTTTAGACTCTCAGTGCTGTGCTTCAACCCGCTGCGCCACCAGGGAGGGCCCACACTGTTTCTTAAGGGATGAAAAGGACACTTGTCCCCTCTCTTGTGCCCGACACTGGTCCATCTTGAGGTTGTTTTTGGTGAGATGTTGGGTTCAGTGACTGGGGTCTTTGGGCTACCTCTGAGAAATGTTTCACCAGAATTTCCTTTTCAGTGGCACAAGGCAAGCTTACCTGGGAGACTACTACGGCACTTGCACAGACACAGACAAATGAAGGTTACAGTTTAAAAGGACAGTTTTATTAGGAAAAGGAGAAAAAAAAAAAAGGATAGTCACAAGCGGGCAGGAGAACTGCCTTTTGCCAGTGCAGAAATTGTTCCAATATAGTGTTCTTTTGGGGAGAGGTTCATTCTTTTGTGGAACTGTTTTCTGTGGTTAATCAGTCACCTTTTGGGTGTTTTTGGGTTAGTTTGTAAGGACCAGTGATTCTCCAGTGGCCCTCTATCTCCACACACCCATCTCTGGTCTATGCCTAAAGAGTTTTCATTGCTATAGCAGGTATAACAACTGTGTTTAATCATTCTAGCCCTTCACCCTCAACTCCAGTTTCTGGTCTTGTGATTCTGCCATCCCTAACTTTACTATTCCTAGCCACCATCGCATCTTAGCTACTCAAGCCTTGGCAAACATTGCTTATGAATCCTCTCTTAAATCTGAAAGTAACCAAAACTAGTTCCTCAACAGGCTCCCTTTCAAATCTTTATGCCTTTACAAGTGCCTTCTCAGTCTTAGAACAAGCCCTGAATCCCCCGCTGAGACTCTCCCCCCCACCCACTTCCTTCACGTACCACGTGAGAGCAGTCCTTCCCAGCCAGCCCAATACAATATGAAAATCTCAGTTTAAAGTCCTGACTAACACTGATGAATTCCATCTCTATGCTCAGTCCTCCTCCCCTTACACCCTTTCCCCATGGGGGAAATCTGACTAAGCTAACTCAAAGCCCAGAACAGGCCTTCCTAGGCCACGTAGACCACAGGGTCCCACCCCCCTCCCGACCCCCCCGGGTCAGAAGTGCACCTCATTACCCATCTTGCTGCTCCCCTTTTTGGGAGAGTGTCTTCAAAACCCACGGTGGACCTCACCGCCCCTGCAGCGCCCAGACCCGCCCCAGACCCGCCCCAGACCCGCCCCAGACCCGTCCTAGACCCGCCCCCGCGCTGTCTCACTTCCTCTCGGGAGGCGGGTCGTAGGCAGGCACCGCCCCTTACGGTCAGCTCGGGGTTGGGGAGCTTCAGTGAGGCGTCGCTCGTCACTGCCTTAGTTTCTACTCGCGCGTCCTGACAGCAAAGCCGGGAATCGAAACCCCTTGGTCCGTGCGGATGGAGCCTGCGCCGGTCGGCTCTCCCGGGCCCCAGCGAGATCCCGCAATGCCCCACACGCCCACCAAGCCTGCCCGGGAGTCTCCCTCTGAAGGCCATCAGTCCAGCCCCAGCCGCAGTCCCACAGAGGTATTACGGAGTTTGGGGGTGATGGGGCTGAAGCTATTTTGTCGTTTTTGCTGTGGTGGGAGGAGAGGAGGAAAGGGCCAGGGGGATTTGGCCAAGTACCTTTAAAGAGTAACCCAAAAGGGGGGAAAGTGGGCGTTAGGGCCCGGACACTCTTGACTGGGATCGGATGGGGGGAGAGTGGAAAAGGGGAGTTAGGGGACCTATCTAGGCAGCACTTCTTCACAGCAAGGGGTGCAAAAAAAAAAAATTAAAAAGCCTGCTGAGGGTAGGTGGCACCTAACACTGGATTCTCCCACCCACCCTGGTTGACTTGCTTCATAGCCCTGAGGAAGAATCCCAGATTAGGGACAAGGGAGAAGGGGGTATCTTGGAGCGTGTCTCATGTACTGAAAACGGAACAGGATTTCCCAGGCCCAAAGCCGGGAGCTGGTGGGACAAGAGAGGTGCTTGGCTAAGGCTTCACAACTTCTGTACTTTCTTCTCTAGGAAGCCTTCCAGCTATTTCTTATGCAATACTCTGCCCATCCAACCCCGTCCTCATATGGTAGTTTCACTTTTTGAGTAACCATCAAACTGTATTAAATATTTTACATGAGGTTGGTACTGCATATAGCCCTTTTTTAAACTGAATTCTTTGAAGCCAGGGAAGTGTCCTGTATCTCATGATCTGGTGCTATGTCTGATGGAAGGATATGCTTATTCAATTGTGGAGAGAGCAGAAAGGTCTGAATAAATGGAGGTGGGAGTGGGGAGAGGTTAGTATACTAAGTCTGGGGTTTGCATCAGCCATGATGGGCTGGAATGGAGTATGAAGTTCTGTATCATCTCCAACCATGGTGGCCAGCTGCTGGTGAGTGGGGACACCTTGGCCTTTAGACCTCACCTCCCTCTCTGGTACCCCCAGCCAGCTACTGAGGATGAGTTCCAGTTCCTGTACTGCCAGGGCTGCCAGACAGAAGCCAAGTGCCCCAAGCTGCTGCCTTGTCTGCACACGCTGTGCTCAAGGTGCCTGGAGGCACAGGGTGAGCAGTGTCCCATCTGCCAAGCCCCCAGGCCACCAGGTGCTGACACCCGGGTTTTGGATAACGTCTTCTTCGAGTGTCTGCAGAGGCGCCTGTCTATATACCGGCAGATCGTGGGTAAGGAGACCTTTTGCACTCGCTGCAAAGAGCCGGCTGACTTCTGGTGCTTCGAGTGCGAGCAACTTCTATGTGCAAAGTGTTTTGACGCGCACCAGTGGTACCTCAAGCATGAGATCCGGCCACTGGCCGAGCTCCGCAGCCAGTCGGTGCACGAGTTTCTGGAGGGCTTGCGCAAGACCAACAATATCTTCTGCTCTAATACCAACCACCGCAAACCTACGCTGACTAGGTGAGTGTGGGTGATCCACCACCAGCGACACGGGGTCTTATAACCAAGAACTAGGAGGAGGGTTTGGGGAAACAGAGACCCAAAAGGCACATCTCTGAGAAGAGGGGCAAAGAGAGTCTTGCACCTGGAAATGTGGTCCATAGACAAGAGGCGTCTGTAGCCATTTGCCATAGTTTATGCAGTCCCATGCAAGTGCAAAGCCAATTTCCAGTTTCACGGGCAATACATTCTGTCGTAGGAGTCATCCTTCCGCCTTACTATGCAGTTTCTTTAGGATAAACTTCTAGAAATGCCTTCTGGGTTGAAGGGGTATGAAAATTTCACATGTTGATACATGTTACTAAACTGCCCTTTAGAAAGTCTTAACGGAATGTTCTTTAGCCATGGAGTTTGAATTCTAGAAGAGGTGTAGGAAGTTTCTGCCTTTTGAAAAAAGTCAAAATCCAAGATAATATTGTGCTCTCCTAAGTGTGTGTGAAAAAAAGTTAGATCCAATTGTAATTATTAAAGGATACAAGGTTTCAGCTAAGTGTTTTGATAGATGATACATTTATTTATATGGTTAAAAAATTACAAACAAAATTTATAAAAGGGGGGATAAAGTCCCTTTTCCCTCCATTCCCATCTTTCCCACCCTGCCCTATTCACCCAAGCCCACCATTTATCTCACCCCACATCGGCAGAGAACCATTGTAACCAGTTTTACATGTTGACAGATTTCTTTGGTGAATAAATAGACAAACAGGAGTATAGTATAATCTTATAAAACCTTATCTGCCCCCTTTAAGTTATAGGCTATGTGAATTTCCGACCCCTCCCCCCTTCCCCAATACCTCACTCCCTCCCCTCACCCCTACCACAATCTCCCTGCCCTCTCACTGGCCACTCCTTCCAAATCTCCATTGCTTCTCTA